TACAATAAATCAACATAAGAGATGAATAAGTTTTTTGTAGTAGTGATTTAACATTCTCATCAAAACGCAACTTACAGTCAAGACTCCTAAATTGTTTGCATTGCTAGTAATGGGAACTGGAATACCATCGATCATAACCTCAAAATTATGTTTTAAAATTTGCAAATCTTTCTCATTACCAAAAAACAAACTTTCGACTTACTCGAGTTCAATTTTAAATTACGCTCATCCAATAACAATTTTATAGTTTGTAACTCAGAGTTGATGACGTCATTTGTCTGTCGAAAATCATTAATATTAAAATGTAAATAAATTTGAGTATCATCGGCATATGCTTGAAGTTTGCATTGATGAACAGATTCTAATATGTTGGCAGTATAAATTATGAAAAGCAGGGGTCCCAGAATCGAACCTTGAGGAACACTAGAGAGAATTTCTAAACTGGTAGATAAAATATTATCAACAAGTATACTCTGGGTCTTCCATGTAAATAATATTTAATTAGTGTGAGTGAATCATCGTCAAATGCATAATATTTTATCGAAGCATTGCATTGAAAATAATGGTATGCATTTCGAGAATTTATAAACATTTTTTTACTTTATTTCTTTACATAATATCAATCTATTTGTTATTATTTTTGTATTATTTTCAAGATTTTTATTGTTTCACTCATTTGCGTGGGTTTAGGTAGGTTCTTTTATAAACACATTTTGTTTTGGAAATTAAATGTTTTTTCGTTACCGTTGTGTTCCTCAATTCATTATCATTATTTATTTTTTGCTCACTAATTTGCGAATAATTTGATAACAAAAATAGATATCGAACCCTTTGTGGCGTCAAAATGTAGCTATTTTTATACTCTTCAAACTAACCTATACAAAGTTTTATCCTGGTATTTCACGTTTTTAAGAAAATTTGGATAAATATCAGCAATAAGTAAACAACACTTTCCTTAAAAATTTCAAACTTATATAGAGTATAAGTTCATTCATTAATTTTTTGTGCTGAATTTATTTATGTTAAGAAAACTATAGCATTGCATTTAAAAATTTTAAGATAAATCCATAAAACGGCATTCTTTTGAAATAACGCCATCTATAGGTTTCCATTTTGAGGTAAATGACATTACGCATTAACCACGAGATAAAGCATGAAAAGACTTTTCCAACGAGGTATAACACTATAGGCTTTTGATGAGTCAATCCTTAAAAAATGCATTTTTATGATCAGACAATAGGGGCTTCTCCTTTATGTCGAGAGATAGAACAAAATGTCAATAACTAAAATTATACGTAATGAATCCGACTATCAATATCTGCCCTATTTAATATACCTAAATAGGAAACATTTCTGAGAAAAATTGGTCCCTATGTTTTGGTATGTAGATTGCGCCCCCTAGCGACCGAGCTACAAACTTGAAAACTACTTGCTGCGATTTCTCTTGGTCGATTTATTAAACAAATTTGTTTTCCCGAAGCTCTAGGTTCTATAATTTCTCTAATATCGTACCTCGCCGACCTTAGTGGGACACCCTGTATATGCCTTACATTTCCTAAAATATACACCAAATATGCTTGATCGTCAAGATTTTTGTACTTATTATTAGTTAATCCTAAAGTCACTTAAAAGCAAAACACCGTCCATGGATATAACAAATCCACACATACGTCAACCCACCAACACAACGCTAAAACATAAAATTTAGTTTTAATTCAAAAACTAAAAAACTATCTCGCAGCAATTTCCAGTGAAAGTAAAATAGGTACTGAGGCTTAAAAGGTGAAACATTTCTCCCGGATGTGCTAACTGAATAAGACGATTGAAAAAGTGCCGATTAATAAATATGCATTGCTTGCTGTTTAGAGACTTTCGGGATCGTGTATAAATTTTGGAGATGGAAGTGCTCATGAAATAAAAAATTCATGTAAAATATAACCTTTTCCCCGAATGATTAAAATCATAAAAAATGGCGAAGGCGCTGGGAGAATATTAAGCAACAGAAGCGGAAAAGCTTAGAGCCTTGGGCGGCTATGAATTACAGAAAACTCATCGTCCGTATATTTGGGGACGGCGTCATGTGTTAATTTAAAAAAGGAAAATGTTAAACTTATATTATTCAAGTGTATGTGCTTTTTATCGACTTTTCTCTTTTCAAACAAACAATAAAGGGTATTCGCAAATATCACCGACAACGTTTGAATGCATATTCACGACGATAAATAAATACGATCTACGGAAAAAATTAAATAAAAAGTTTTTCGTTTTTGAGTTATAGGCCTTCAAAGTTGTCAAAAATAAAACTAATTTAATTGATAACTTCATAACCCTTCTACCGATCGAGTTAAAATTTGGCACATTTATTTGGACTATTATGGCATATTATTTGTAAAAGTTTTAGTCAAATCGATATACTGAGTAATAGTTTCCTCCGGTTGCCTCTCCCTTTTAGCGGTCAAAACTTTTACAATGGTCGTATTTTTTTAAAACAGACAGCAACATTGAAAAGGTCATTTTATTTAAAAAATAATATTGTCTTTTGAGAAAATCGGCTACAGAAAGCCATTCTTGAGAAAAATAACATTATTTGCAGGACTGTTTGTTTCAGTTTGTGTAGTTTGTAACGTATAATATAGGTTATGGCAATTTATTTATCCGATCAGTGAACCAATCGGGACCTAAATTATTGCTTTTAAAACAAATCTGTGTTGAAACCACCATGACTGTTTAGTAGTTTATGACAATGATATTTAAATTAAAATTACAAGAAAATATAAAGTGGTGCAAAACCACTCCAAACGTTAATAATATGGAAGCATTTAAAAAGTAAATTGTGCACATTAGTAGACCTAATTTCAATTAACATAGTTTTACCCAAAAAGTATACAAATTTAATAAATTACAATCTTATTTATAGAAAAATAAAGACAAAGAATGATTGTTAATTTTAAATTTATACTTGTGAACACCTTTTATAGTCTTTAAAATGACATTACAATAAAAAGTTTTTAACAATGCAAATCAAGAATAACAACAACAAAAATTCTGACTGCAAATTTTCTATAAACGTTATTTGTTGCCTATTTACAAACGAGATTCTAATTACTAGCTTCTTAAAATAGCAAGCTTTAACCGTAAACTTTTTGTATGGGCGAGACCATTGTACAATAGTATATTAAACAACAAGGTTTGAAAACGACTCTTTGCACACGAGCGAGACATATTGGTGGACCGAGCCGAAGGCGAGGACCACAGGTCGAGCGAGTGTGCAAAGAGGTTTTCAAACGAGTTTTTTACGAAACTTTTTATACGACTGCAAACAGAGACCACAAAAATCAAATTTTAATTTAAATCGTTTTTATTACTAAAATTGCCAACGCATTAACAAAATAAATTAAATACAACTTTTAATTTAACTCGTTTTTATTAAGAAAATTGCTAACGCATTAACAAAAGAAACTAATATTTAATATTTATGGTAACATTTGAACATTCCTTCAAGGTTACGCTGGGAAAAGCAGTATTATTGTGCACCTTGTTTTCGGTAATAGAGAATATTTTTGGTGTCGTGTTTTTAGTGCAGTTTTTCAGCGTGCGGTCGTTGTTTTCTTGTTGTATTCCAGTAGACGATCGTTGTTCTGGTTCTGTGGCAGCAGAAGACACTGAAGACTCTATCTTTTTCGAAACTTCCATTTTATTTCTCAAACAGTCATCAACGTAGCCTTCGGCAACTGTACTGGATTTCCACCCTCCATGGCGTTTGAGGGCAAGCAGATTTGAGCCAGAATTGACTAAAATTGTGGCCGATGAACGCCGAAAACAATGTCCCGTGTAACTTTCTGGATTCTCTAGCATCAAAAACTTGGCGATTTCCCTAGCCATGTTTCCAATTTTGTTGATGCCAACGTTTTGGCTTGAACATTTTCCGTTTTGATAGTTTAAAAAAAACCTGCCTGTCTTCAGATTAGGAGGACGAAGAGCACAGTACTTTTTTAAGATAGTGTAAAGGTTTCCTGTAATTGTAAAACACCTTGGTACCTTTGTTTTTGTATTCTTCAGTTTAATCAGCATAGCACTGCCGAAATCTTTGGTGTCTTCTATTTTGAGATAACATAATTCCTCCCTTCGACATGCCCCGGATAGTCCAACTGCCACCACGGCCTTGATAAGTAAATATTTGTCGTCTGATGCTTTCGTCAAAAACCGGCAAAAATCATCTTCTGTGAGGATTTGGGACTTCTTTGGGACGTAGTTTTTGGATTTTCGTTTGATTAGCGCTTGCAACTTTTTATAATTTCCAAGATCTATGTTGTGATTGGCACTTAACGTTGACTTGAGTATCGTCCACAACGTCGAAGATTTATATTTCTTAGATAGTTCTTCAAAATACACCATTACTGCGTTTTCTGAGAAATTTTGGACATTTTTGGCTAATCGCTAGTCCATAAATCGGCTTAACTCAGCTTCATACCTGCTTTTGGATTTTGTGGGAACATATTTCGCTTGCTTTCTATAAAATCTCTTCAGAATCACACATTTTCACACCCAAACTTCGGGAATTCAACAATTTTTGAAGTATCCAATCAACAAAATAAAGGAGCCGTGACGGTTGCTATGAAACTCAGCCAACTTGAAACATTGCATAATTTGGGTGACAATATCAAACAAAAATCACAATCTGGAGACGCGTGTGCTAAGATGGCATAACCGTGTGCAAAATGTTTAGCACACGTCATGTGCAAAATACCGTTTTCAGAGCGTGTTTTCCGTGCGCAAAACCCCCTTTTGCAAGGCAGTCGTATAAAAAATACTTTAAAAACTTACATAAATTGCCTGTATGTTAAAGTCAGATTTTTTGCATAGCGACACTATGATTTTTAATGCGCGATGCCTAGACATATTTATGATTTATTAAAAATTCACTTGGAATTCTATTGTTATAGATTTCTAACGATGAATTCAAAGAATAACAAAGTATTACAAACATACTTTTTTTCCAGATCCGCCTAAAATAGTAAGCATTGGAAGGGAGCGAGTGAAAACCGCAACGCTTTTCTCCTCGACAAATTTCGAATGTCTGGGCGAGGGAAATCCCACGCCGACTTACCAATGGATACAGAAGAGGCCATCCCCTTCTGACATCACAATTGAAAGAGGAAGAGACTCCAAATTATATATCAGTAACGTGACGTACGACTTCCAGGGGGAATATAGGTGTAAGGTCACGAATATCATAAAAGGGGAAGAAAGAAGTGAGATCAGCGAGCCGATTATTCTTCAGGTTCACGGTAAGCATGTCGTGTCGACTTTCTACAAATGATAGGCCTACTAGATTCTGAAAAATAACACATTTACGTGATGTCCCTTCAATAAGTCTGTATGGCACGGATAGATTTATAGCATCGGATTATATTGGGAAATATATTGACATTTAGTTTCCAATTTTTTTTCTTATATACAGGGTGTCCCTGAAAAGGATGGACAACGCTTGACCACAGGTTCCTTGGATAAAAATAAGACCATTTAGCCTAACTTACCTATATACAAAAGTGCACGCCTACTGAGATATAGCCTTCTAAATATAGAATAGATAACCTATTTTTTTCAAATAATTTGAAAACTATTTTTCTTAGAAACTTCAAATTTGGTACACTTATTTTTTATATAAGGGCAAGGTAAATACAGAATTTGGAGAGAATACATGATGTTCTATTTCTAGTGCCCGTGCGCCACTGGCTATCCCATAACTTTTTTGTGTGTATGCCAATGACGACAGAATTTTAAAAGATTTTTTTGCCCTTACAAAATTTCGATATCGGTTATGGATTTCGAGTAAAATTCGCATTTTCTTATACATTAAATATAGGCAAAAATTCCGATTTATAAAAAATAATTTATAACTGCAGCCTCAATGCATGCAATAATAATTAAAAAACGTCACATTAAAAAAAATAACTACACATTTTTGGTATAAGTATTATCAATCAATAAAATAAAAATCAACATTAATATTTTAAATAAACAATATCAACTAATAATGTAAGAAAGTCAACATTAACATTTTAAATAAACTGATATTTGTAATCACATTAAAATAATATTACAGTAAATGCTCAAAGTTACTTTCTTGTTCTTAAACGCAAACAATAGTTCTTCGAAAATTAGAAATTATCCAATAATTGTGCATTGACTCTCATAACATTAATTTCATGTTGTATTCTTTCCCATATTCGTTTTCTGTATTTACTGAAAAGTTATTTTAAACTGTGGTCCTCAACGCTCCACAAATGAAATAATTACATGGGTTTAGGTCCGGGGATTGAGGTGGCCATTTTAAAGGGGCATTATTTCCTCTACTTATCCATCTGTTAAACCTTTAATAATCTGTAATACCTACCTGTACCCTGTAATTCCTGTAACCTGTGATAACTGGTCTTTTAATACTCTATTAAAGGAACGTTTTGAAAGCCGCTAACCACCTTTTATTTACTTCTTCGACCCTTTCCAAAATTTGTTCCTCCAGCTGAATAATTCCATTATCCATGATTTAATGTTACAGGTAAAAAAACGTCCTGTTTCCCGAAGGCGTCTCTCCGCATTAGCTAATGTTTTTTGATTTGGAGTTCTTCGATTAGGAAATCTTTCAGCATATGTTCGAACAGCAGCACAATAATTTCCTTCACAATTACCCAAAACTACTAACATATCAGTGTGTTCAGGAAAAGTAGGTATAAATTGCAATAAAAAACAAAGTAAGCTAAAATTAAATCACAGCTAGCTTGACATAGAAACTTTTAATTATTGTTATGAATTTGTTTCTCTGTTATATGGCACCTCGTACTAGAATGTTATATTTGTCTTAAATTGATTTTATATTATTTAATGTGTAAAAAATGCCAATTTTACTCGAAATCCATAAACGATATCAAAATTTTGTAAGAGGCAAAAAATCTTCTAAAATAGTGTTTATATTTAAAAATATAAATTATGTCGTCATTGGCGTACATACAAAAAAGTTACGGGATAGCCAGTGGCGCACAGGCACTAGAAAGAGAACATCCTGTATATGTATTCTCACCAAATTCTATATTTACATTGCCCTTATACAAAAAAATATGTGTACCAAATTTGAAGTTTCTAAGAAAAACTCAAATCAAATTTCAAATTTATTATTATTTATTAATTATTTGAAAAAAACTAGATTATCTGTTCTATATTTAGAAGGCTATATCTCAGTAGGCATGCACTTTTGTATATAGGTAAGTTAGGCTAAATAGTCTTGTTTTCATCCAAGGAACCTGTGGTCATGCGTTGTCCATCCTTTTCAGGGACACCCTGTATACATCTACGATCCTTTCCAGATGTATACATTAAAATTCACTATTTGCGTTGACTCTACAAAATTATAGTAAAATTTTGTATTAAAATATCCTTTGCTAAATGCCCTTCTGTTGATTTGAGTGCCTAATAGATGTGTATTTAAATCCACTTTAATCTTTAAGCTAATAGATGTTGTTCTAATGGTGTTACTCGTTAAGACACCACGGCACTTTATATCTTTTAATGGCTGTATCCATTCCTTGCCCAGACTAGTATATATCTACATGTTTCCTTATAATCAATCTTGAAAGCCCTGGCAAGATACCAGAATTCTGGCTTTCTCTGTCTGGGTTGTGGCCTGCCTGCAATGAGATGTAAATTTGAACAAACAAGTTTTTGTATTAGGTTTAGTAAAATATGTCGATATTTTGTTTTCATATATTTTAAATTAATTCAATACAGTCTAGTTTCATTCACTAGAATATCAAATAATGGCAAAACAACCAGCGATACTGGCCTTCTTGTTAAGTGTAAAATGGAAAACATATATGTATACAGAATAATTAAATAACTGAAAATGGCAGTTTAAGAAAATATGTCTTTACTATTACATTATTACATTTACAAAATATTAAAAAATGAGCTTATCCAAAAAAAATAGAAAAATCACATACGAAACATAACTAAATTTTTAAACATAATTTATTTCTATTAAAGTGGACATTTATTATAAAGACAAATTTAATTAAAAAATTATTTTCTCTAGTAAATAGTATGAATTCTGCATATCTGAATGTTTAGGATATTTTTTCAAAGAAGCAATATTAAATTGTTCAGTCCACGCTATTTTAAGATAAGAAAAAAACAGTTATTTAGACGAAAGTTATGTATTTCGGAAGAAATAATTTTAATATTTTTCAAATTTACGAAATTTCGCAACCCAGCTGTTGGTTTTTGAGATTAACAACCTGTTAAAGTTTAAAAAAGTTTACAGCAAGTTTGTCAGAAGATACAAATTTTTAATACAGTCAATAACAAATACTATTATCAAAGTCATTATAATCTTTAATTAGTATTCTAGCTGTCTAGAAGTAAGGATAAAGATCAATTTTGTTTGGTACGTGCCTTTTTCCACTCTGGTACACCTTCAAGATGGTATGGTTTCCAGGAGGTTTTCAACTACGCATTGTTGCATTAATATTTGTGGCGACACTTTGAATATTGTTACTGATGTCTATATCACTGTCTTTTAGGTTTTTGCCCAGCACTGGTTTCGAGATCTCTTGTGAATACCTGAAATATTTCGAAGCTTTGAGGAGCTTGTGTAGGCCTTCTATGAGTGATTACTTAAGAATTTTGGCCAGCTTCTAGAAGCTTATTTCACCGTAAGATTGCACAATGCCTGGGTGAATGGGGCACTAGAACTTTGGTTTAACCTGGAAGCAAACAAATTTGTGAAATTTGTTGATATTGTTCTGAATTCATATTAAAAATTTGTTTTATTGTTAAAATTTGAGTTTTTAGCACAGCGTATTTGATTATTGATCTGCAGAGGCTATATACAGCGCAAAATGGCAATAAGTTAAAGTGTTCCAGGTTCTATTCGTAGTTAATGAACAGCAGGACATCAGAGTTGACGTTCGATCACTGTCAAGGCTGGCTCCGCAGGCGTTCTTGATGTGTGGTTCCCATAGATATGGACCATTGACCTCTCTGAATTTTACCCATCTTTGGATTGTCGCCAACTGCAACTGATGATCGACCTGTGTTCTCGGCATAGTACTTTTATAGTTAGGTTGTGGTTCCTCATTTAGAATTCAGTAAAATTTGGAAAATTTTTTGGTTTCCGAAATTCTAAACTGAGGTGAATTGTGTATTTTTGCAGCGACTGTTCTGTCAAAAGCATCGGCCTCTAGCGGTGTGGTCCACTGCGGCTTCGGTGTTTGGGGCGACTGGGAGCTTATTAGGAACATCGGCGAAAATTTTTGGAAACATAGGTGAAAGCGTTAATTTGCGTGCCGCCCTTTCTGCTTCTCGCGGAAGGCAATTTGGGCATATTTCTCGAGATTGGCTCTTCGTAGGGTGGTTGAAAATGGCTTTAGAGGTCCTATTGGAAAGTTGAGCGAAAATTTGAAATTCGTTCAAGCCTGGAATACCACAATGATCCTTTCCAATAGTGTAAAGGATGCTAGACTTAGAATGAAATATATATTTAGATAGAAAAAAAGATCACTTTAGGTTTGAATATATTGAAAAACAAATTCCACGCCCCATCTTTACGTAAACGCACTATATAGATACATATACTTTACTTTCCAATGAATTTGTATATCCCTTACGATTTATTTAACAGCATTGACATCTACGGTTAGGTAAATTGTTTACAATACTGTTTCAAATAACAGGGGTCGAACTAACCATTACAGAAAGCTCTAATGTCTATGCCAAATTACCTCACGAATGTGTTATTAGATATATTAACTGAAATCCTTTCTATTACCTTTGAACATTTCCCTATTAGGTGTTTCAAAGGACTTAGGGATAGGCTTCAGCGTATTTATTCCATTATATTAATATTTCAACATTTCCACAGTATAGCCAAGGCGGTCCCTATATCTGTAGATTACTTTGGGGGAACACTCTAGGATAAAAGGATATTTATGGTTAATAAAGGAAGCTATTGCTCTTTGTAATGAAATTACTATTATTGTAGTGGTAAGTGATTTCCTATAGCGCTATAAACGTACAATACAACTGAATTGTGTACAAAAGTAATGTCTTGATATTGTCACAATAATTTGCAGTATTCAAGCTTTTATAACGTGTAACCACTAAATATCCAGTATGGCGTAATTGGTAACAACTTTTATTGATAAAATATATTGTAATAGAATGAGTAGGGGCAAAGATTTTAAAATATCGAAGAGAAAGGTAAATTTGGGAAAATAAAATTGGTAAAACTGATTTT